TAGAGGACTTTTTTTCCGAGGACTTTTTTTCCGAGGACTTTTTTGTATAAAATCATACTGGAGCCAGAAAAAAAGTCCTAGAAAATAAAGTCTCGAATTGGTAGGACTTTATTTCCGGAGACTTTTTAATAAAGGACTTTTTTCCACAGGAGTTTTACAGTGTGAAATTTTAGGACTTTTTTGCCGGAAACTTTTTTCCAAGCATATTCTGGTTCTCAAGTACCCCAGCAGAGATAGGGTTAAGGAGAAGGATTTTATTTTTTTCTCTATTTGTCATGTCTCATTTTTATACAAAAATCATATGGACTTGTTTTCTTTGCATTCACTTTCAAACAATAACTTTCAAAACTGATCTACGAATTATGATCCCCCCCAGGTAGAATTTCTGATCGGGTCATTGTGTATAGTGGCTGTACAACAAGAAGTCTAAAATTCCAGATGCCCCCTCTATTACTAATATCTCGATGGTATTAACTATTCAGAAAACGGCCTATGTGTACTATAACCTCTATGTACACTGTACACAAGAAGTATACATATGTACGGCAATCGGTGTTTAGTAGACGTCCGATCGAAGAAGTTAAAAAACGAAAATGTTAAAAATGTTTAAGATGTTAGTGATCTTTTTGATTTGTTCGAGATCAAAAGTGTTTTCTGGCGATTGCGAAGAGCTAAGGTGAAGTTAAAAAATAAATCAAAAACTTTAAATAAAATTAAAAAAAAGTTTTTTATTAAAATTATTGGTGGAAAATTATTTATTGAATATCCCACGTATCAAACTAAGTAAATTCCCACGTAATATTAAAATCTTTTATGTTTTAACTATTGAGAAGAAGTGTTTTGAATTTCTAATACAGGGTGTTCCACGAAACATGACAATTGCATGGTGAATAGTTTTGAATGTCTTCTTTCATATACTGTATTAGATATTGAAGACTTTTTGTGCAGTTTATTTAGTTAAAAAGTCTGTTATTAAAATATATTTTACTTTGAAATCAATTTTACTATAATACGACTGTCATATCCTATTTTTCATTAATCTCTTTACTATCAGACGACTAAAAAATCAAGGAAGAAGACATTTCAAACTATTCCCCAAGTGTTATGTTTCATGGGACACCCTGTATGTCACCGGAATAATTGAATTTTCTCATACCTTTGCATTATGTCAAAACGATACGAGGTCACAAAGTCGTCACATAAAATTTACCTTCTGTCATAGTTTGTATCAGTTCCCATCCTCTTACTAGAAACAACTACATACTACATTTACTATAAGGAAGCATTGATAAAAAATATTTTGCTTTTATCATAAATGTTAGCCATCAATAAATACTTAAACGTATACAGTATTATGTACAGGACAGAAAATAGACTACTAAGGGAGCTGCTGGCAGTACAAAATAACAGATACGACAGTACTCAAACACCAAAAGGTAAAATATCGCATAACAATGTTCTTTTATCTATTTTTTATGCAATATATTCAAGTGAAAGTTTTGATTATTTTTTTTTCAGGACTAATTTATATTTAACTACAGTGACTTAATTTCATAGAGTTGCATGTCGGATTCACAACGGTATCGTTTATTCCTTTGTTTGATAATCAATGAAGGCAATGTCCTCAAATTTCTAGCTAATAATTGAGTGCCAGGAGACTTGTGTAAATGTATTTAAACTGATACATGCATGGTTCTCTCGAGTTTCACAGCAATTATTTTTCTTGTCAATAAAAATTTTTTTTGTAAAGAAATAATATTTTTTTGCAGTTGAAAGTTCCATAGACATTTCGCCTAGTCCAGCTCTAACTCCTGTGTGGTCACTTTCTTCCTATACATCAACTTTTCAAACCACTGTTACAGTTCCGGTAAAGTGAAATACACTTTTTGATAAAGAAATTTATTATAGGGAGAAAAAAGTATAAGTGAAAAAGTCGTTTATCAAGTATCAGCATTTTAAATGAATATCTAGGATTTTCAAAAATGTGCTTTAAAAAACTGTGCCTTGATGGAATTTTCAATTAAAAATGTATTTTTATAAAAAAATGTATTTTTATAAAAAATGTATTTTTATAAAAAATGTAATTTTATAAAAAATGTATTTTTATAAAAAATGTATTTTTATAAAAAATGTATTTTTATAAAAAATGTATTTTTATAAAAAAATGTATTTTTATGAAAAAAAAAATCATTTTTGTACAAAACACATTCTACAGAGTGTACGAGAAGTTAAAAGTTTTGTTTTAGGTTTACACTTTAAATTGTGATTTGGAAATTTTTTAAATAAAAGTTTTTTCTTCAATTTTCAATTAGAAATCGTCATTTTTTGTGAGGTTTTCTTGAGGTTTTGGATGAAAAAATTAAAATTATGTGATTGGTAAAGAACATGGATAGAAAAAATAAAATTTTGATAATTATTTAATTGTATAGGTTAATACTGAGATTCCTTTATATTTCAACGGAAAGGCAATAACTTCAACTATTGTTGAATACGAAACCAAGGTATTCATTTTTTTAACGTTCAGAATAATTAAATTTGGTGGATTTGTTTTCAAAATGATTAGAAAAATATTGGTTCATAAGCTGAAAATAAGATTTTTTTGTGAAATTAAACGAATAAACGAAGACTATAATCGGTCCACTGTATTCTGGTGACCATTGTTTGTTTATTTAACAGGAGACGGTTGGTACCACAGTTCTTCCAACTAGAATACTTGTATATCCAAACAACTCAGGTAGATAGACACTTCAATAAAGAGACTGTGCAAGCCTAATTATAATGGCCCTTCACGCAAAGATGACAATGCCCGATTCACAACATTACCCTTAGAAGCTTTGTCTGATCAAGTATGAATTAGAGATCGATGTGTAGAACTTATAAAACAGATTTTTTTAATTTGTGGTTTCTCTACAAAACTGTTTTGCGAATTTCAACTGATGGAAAAATATAGTAATTTAATCCTAAAGAAAGACATAATAATAATAATAAAGCTCTTTGCTCATGTATATATATTTTTAACATATATTTTTATATATATTATTTTTATACATATTATTTTTAAATACAGGGTGAGTCAAAAAAAGTGTGATTTGGTGCAAAATTGTACCTTGTTTGTGCAACTCTTCTGTATGATGTTTTTTCAATATTTTTTGAATTTTTTTAGTATTCCAATGGGTCAAAAAAAAATTCCGCAGACCTTTTTTCTCTCTAATTCAAAAGTTTAGAAAAGCAAAAATGTTATCAAACACTAACACCTTGAACGCCTTTGTAACAAAAAATAAGATTGCTTAAAAATTTAAAATTTATCTAAACAGAGCAATTTTTGCTTAAAGCTTAATTCAGGAATTTGAAATTTTTATGCCTTAAGTTTTTTTCTCTACTCGTGCTTGATAAATATGTTGTAGAATTGTAGAATTGTAGACAAATCTTATAAATAGATGTCTCTGCTGGTGTTACTAATGAGAAAAAAGAACCAGAGACGTCATCTGTAACACAGGAACAACAACAGGAATCTATTGCACCAAGCAAATCTCAGCCTATAAATACAGAAATAGTAGGTTTTATTTTTATATTAACCCTTAAAGTGAAGTCCGAGGAATGGGGTAATCTATTTAATCTTTTTGTATTTTTTTATAAATAGTTTACAGGTCTATTTAATCGAGATATTTCAACCCTAAGCCAACTTTTAACTGCCTGAAATCTGTTCTTTTACACAACTTTTTTTTACTTCAAATTAGGAAACCTGTCTGCGGTAAAATTTTCTGAAAATTTGAGGGGACATTAACAAAAGTTTATAATAAAAGATAATATTTTCCATATCAATCCATTCAATCTATTTCCAGATTTCAAGTTCTGCAGTGCTCAGGAGACCTCCAGGATTCAGGTAAATAAAGTTTAAAGGAACAGATTTATTGGATTGTAATAAATAATTTCAAGTGAGACTCCATATAAAGATGGCAATGGCCGATTTATACCGGTAACCTTGAACACTTTTTTATGGTCATTAATATTAAGAAATTTAAAGTTTAAATTCAGGTATTTTGAAAAAATTATAATATAAATGAGTTGCCTCAAATTTTTTTGGCCCGATCGGACACAAACAACAAAAATGTTCAGGGTTACCCATAAAGTATGAGACATAGAGACGACTGTACGGAATTTACACTGTCTGTTTCCTCATATTTAGGATTCTTAGCAACTTTGAACATCTTGCTTTCTTTGCCAAATCATTAAATAAACCATTCAAGATACAAGACTTAATTTAAATTTGGTGTCTTCATATTTGAAGCGTTTAAAGTCGTCTTTACAGTCTCATCCTTAGTGGGTAAATTTTCAATTTTTTCAGTAATATTGACAGCACAAAAAAGAGACCGTAGTTTGTAAATTCCAGGACTAGGTATATTTGTGGTTATTATTTCAAGAATCATACATGTCAAGGCTGGTAGGTTGACGACTGAATGTCATAAATACAATCAAAGTTCAATTTCAACTTTCAAGTCGTCTTGCTACTGTCATATTTCGTGGGACACCCTGTCCTTAAAAAGTGATTTCAAAATAAAATAAAAACATATTATATTACTATTATATTTTCAGACCAAGTCGTAAAATAACTACAGCTCCCAAGTCCTTCACTCTTACAAGGTTAAATTCTTTTTAAAAAGTCTTACTAGAAAATGTCTTTTGTATGAAAATCACTAAATGGTTTGCTTATAGAACCAATCTATAAAATGTCCAATCTGAAATATACAATATACGATCCATGAAATGTTCAATGAATATGATACTGTCAATGAAATGTTCTATAATACTATCTATGAATGTCCACTGATAATATCTATAAAAGTTCTTTGATACTATATATTAAATGTCCAATGATACTATCGATGAAATGTCCACTAATACTATTTACTGATTTAGTATAGTCATTTCAGTGCTTGATTCGGTTGGTTGTTTGGATATCCCTGAAACTCTGATACTCTGATTAGATTTGATTTGATCTATGAAATGTCCAATTTTACTGTATGAAATGTCTAATGATACTATCTATGAAATGTCCAATGATACTATCTAATATCTATGAAATGTCCTTTTTATGAAACGAGGACATATCATTAATTTTTTTTTAAATATTCTAATATTTTTTATATATTTTCATAAACCTTTGCAATGACATTCCCTATTTTCACTCAGCAGAGCAACTTTTACTGGGTTCGGGTCTACTGGATTCAGGTTTAAACGAGACCACCCAGATATTAGAGATGATTTAGAGAGGTTGGATTTTTCTTAAATTCATTAAATAATTAGACATTAATCAGTTTACAGTGAAGACCAATAAGACTTGAATTAAAAGACGACGTTTAAATAATAATGTTTGGTGTTCATTAAGCTAAGTAAAATCATAATTTGAGTCTGACAGGCCTCTTCCTTTTCACTGATGTGGTTTCACTGCATTATCTTAATTAATGAGGTTTTTATTTTAAATTTTCTTTTTTTTAGTGAAGTAACGCTGCAGTCGGGAATGGAAGAGTAGTTCAAGATTTTATCTAAAAATTATATAATTATGTATTTTTTGATAATTGCAGTTTTTCGTTGAAATTAATTTAATGATTTCAAAATTGCAATATAAGTATTTCATCAATTTTATGCTTAATACATAGTTCAGATATTTTTGAATTGGTTTCAAGTCATTATTGTATAAAAGAGAAATGTTTAAAATCTGAAGGATTTTTTGTCCCAACATATAAATGGGAAGCTAGGGGTCGTAGATCCGGGCCTAGTGCCTCAGTTTATGAATGAAATTGAATTTTTTAGAACAATTATCAACATATGAGTTTAAGTTACAGCACTCCAACTTATATTCAATATGTATCCACAAAGAAAGTTTGATTAAAAAACTGTTCTGCATGGATTCCAAATTTACTCTGCTTGTTCTGCTTAGCTCACGTGAGACTAACATAAAGCTATAGTCCACGCTGTATCAGAATAAACTCTGTCAAGTCTCGATCTCTCATTTTAAATCTTATAGCAAACATATTTTAACTTAGGCTATGAGTCCAACCTAGCCGCAGCGCTCGGTCCTCGAACTTATTCTAGCTACAGCGCTCAGCTCCTCTTCAGTCTGCGGCACCTCAGAACGTCTCTAACCGAACAAGATTTTGATAAATGGTTGGTTGAAGAAACTTCAGCCGTCATCAAATATATCAATAAAATTTAAGACGACTTTTGATTTCAATTTTGATTTATATCAAGCTTTTAAACAGCATGGATTCACATGAACATAGAAAAGAGACACAAGGTGTTGATTAAAAAACTTCTCTCCAATTACTTAAAACTTGCAATTCCAAAAAAGCTTGTAAATAAAAAACCTTAAGAAAAAATCGTCTTCATAGTATTGATATAATAATTATTATATTAATATAATCATTTTAATTTATCTTAACGTTAAATTATTGTGAGACGTTATATGGTGTACGTTTCAAAATAATGTATTTTAAAAACCACTTAGTTTCATACTTATGTATTACAAACCTTGACAATAATACTGTGGAATCTATGTAAGAAAGTCACAGGAAAAAACGATTCTGAAACAAAAAAACTGGAAATAAAAACTTTGGTAAAAAAGTCCCAATTTTCTGAAGTCCAAGGACAAAATGTCACTGGAATTAAAGTCCTAAGTTTTAGATTCCTGGAACTTTTTTTAATAAAGTCATAGTGGGCCGCCAATAAAGTCTCAGGATATAGGATAACAAGTCTACAAGACCTAAAGTTCTGAATAAAAAAGTCTTAAGTCTTGGGAAGATGAGGTCAAGTCTTAAACGTTTTTATAAAAAAGACTTTTCTTCTATGCATCATAATATTGAATATAGCCAGGAGTGTTTTTAGTTTAAAGGGCATTTTTCCATGCTTGTAAACATCTTTTGTTCCCATGCATTTTCTACTAAAAGGGAAATTTTTTCCGGGGACATTTTTTTTATAAAATCATACTGGAACCAGAAAACCAGTCTTAGACAATTAAATCTGAAAATGGTAGGACTTCATTTCCGGGGACATTTTTTATAAAATCATACTGGAACCAGAAAACCAGTCTTAGACAATTAAATCTGAAAATGGTAGGACTTCATTTCCAGAGACTTTTTATTTCAAGAACTTTTTTCCACAGGACTTTTTAGTGCCAAAATTTTGGATTTTATTTTTTAAAACTTTTTTCAGAGAACTTTTTTGCCGGTTACCAGTACTTTATTATCAATAATCATATCTTTTTGTTGCTGTTCTACAGGGTGACCCACTATGGAAAGACTTTAGTGACGACTTGAAACTCGCTGAGGGATTGTATATGAAGACTAGTGACGACTTGAAACTCGCTGAGGGATTTATGTATATGAAGACTAGTGACGACTTGAAACTCGCTGAGGGATTTATGTATATGAAGACTAGTGACGACTTGAAACTCGCTGAGGGATTTATGTATATGAAGACTAGTGACGACTTGAAACTCGCTGAGGGATTTATGTATATGAAGACTAGTGACGACTTGAAACTCGCTGAGGGATTTATGTATATGAAGACTAGTGACGACTTGAAACTCGCTGAGGGATTTATGTATATGAAGACTAGTGACGACTTGAAACTCGCTGAGGGATTTATGTATATGAAGACTTTAGTGACGACCTGAAACTCGCTGAGGGATTTATGTATATGCAGAATTAGATTGAAAAAGTCTCTATCAGTCTCATCCCTGTATCTGCTTAAGACTTTGCAGTCTTTCGAAGAGTTTGCAATTTTAACATTCAAAAATTCTCAGATTTTCAAAAAAATTTTATTTTGACTTTGGATGGAAAAAGTTCTATCAAATGTTTTTAAAACATTCAGAAATTTCGTATGCAGTCGTCATAATACATCTCATGATCCAGGGGCGGATACAGGATTTAAGTGAGGGGGGGGGGCAAGATTTTTTAGGAACAAAAAATCGCGCCACAGGCGAAAATTTTTTTCGACTTAAGACTCAAAAAGAATCGAAATTAATGACTGAAGACTAAAAAACTAAATTTTTAACTTTTCACACATTATAGTTTATTAAGACAGATATTTTTCCTGTTTTTCACTAGCGTTTCTTTCCCTTAAACATGCTATTGAGAAGCTATTCTGAAAATAGGAGAAAAAAATTCCAAATTTAGGGGGGGCTACGCCCCTCCCTGAATCCCCCCCGTTTTCGCCCCTGATCTCATCCTTTATGGGTCACCATGTCTACTAGCCATCAAACAGCTTTCATGAGACAAACACAGCATATGTACAATTTTCAGAATAATAAATTATCCTTTTACGGCGTTGTATTTCATCGCTATAATTTGTAGCTTAATTCCAATTTTTGTTTGACACCCGCCACATCATCCAGACAGAACAAACACTAGGCTGAGAGAATATCAGAAATATGAAGACGACGAGTTAAAATGTTTTTAAAATTATTCCTGCGAGGTGGGGTAAGCATTACAGTTAAACTATGCGAGTTGGGGAAACGTTTAAGTTATAAAATGACACAAATTTGTATTGCAAGGTGTACGAATGTATCTGAATTGTACAAATATGTATCCTTTTGGCTTCAATGGACTTAAAGAATGTCGTCTTCTAAATATATTCGAGCCTGGTGTTTGTCCAGTCTGGATTATGTGCCGCGATTTAGACTCTTTTTATACTTTGTCATATTTATCCATAATATTATGTCAAAGAAAACCCCCAAAATGGTGAACAATAGATTTTACAGGAGAGTTGTGCGCACCAATTTTGGAGCGTTGAGACCGCACCCACATTACGCGCGTGCATTATGTGCTCACATTCCTCACTGTCAATCTACATTAAATCTGAACAGACAAACAGATGGGGATACGGACATACAAATATTGAAACTCAGAGCTAAGGATAAATCCAGTAATATTGTGGATCTTCATAATATACTGTACACTAGAGGTCCTGGTTAAATCTTAACTTAAGAAAACATTTTTACCCTATAGATTTTTCCTATTTCTGTTTTTTGTTGTGCAACACAGTTCTTGACAGAAATTTATTTTCCTTTGCAAATGATTGTTCTGTAATTTTCTTTCTGATCTTAGTAAAATGTTAGTTAAGAAACAAATGAAATATTTTGATGTCCCATTGGACCATGCATGGAAAGTTCCAGTTTTACAAGAACTTTTTAAATACAAGAACAAGTAATTTATATTTTGATGGATTCGCATGATTGGGTAATAACTGAAATGATAAATATTTTATGTAATGAGCATTGATCAATGTCTCCTGTTTGTGCATAATTTTGCATACATCAATAACCAGAAAACTCTGGAATAGGAAGACGACTTTTAGACTCAATTTATGAATTTATTAAATAGTCCAATTGTTATTGGGCTACTGAAATTGTGCAGTGTTAATAGACCCATTTCACTTAATTAATTATTTAATAAGTGGTAAAACTATTTGCTTTGTAAAAACATCAAATGCACTTAAGTATTGCTATAAAGTCGTCTTCCTATTCCAGAGTTTTCTGGTTATCACTGTATTTTCTTTTTTCTTTTGTAAAACTATATATTCAAATTATTTAAACAAACTACACCATTATATTGTGTGTGAATAAACCTTTATGAATAATAAAATAATATATTTCAAATATCGGATTAAAAAAGGTCAATTAAGCTATTTTTGACGTATTAAATGAAAGATCAAAATATGAAAGAAAATATTCTGTCATAAACTCCATAGACAGGATGTACTTCGTGGAAGAAGATGTTTTACGTAATTGAAAACAGTGAAATGTCAAGACGACTGTTAACCTAAAATTATACTGTATAAATATTCCACTGAACATGAAAAACGGCAAAACATTTGTTGTAACCTTTTTATTTAACATATACAGATACTCGACTAGTCTTACCTTTTCAGGGTCACCATCAGAGGCGTATACAGGGGAGGACGCGGGGGAGTAACAGTTCATTCCCCCGCCGAGAGGCGTATACAGGGGAGGGGGGGGGGGGGTATTAGGGGCTCAGCCTCCCCCCTTGGTCAGTGTTTGTCATGTATGAATGTATATGTATGAATTAGGCATCTGCATCATCTCACAAAATTGTTTTTTAAACATAATTCCGGATTCTAAACATCTTGAACATAAATTAATAACAAAACAGATAGAACACTAGAGTGTTGGGGTTCACATAAGCTCAAAGGAGTTATGCGCATACTCCCTCTCTGTCTTGTAATTCAAAGCGGCATGCGCGTTTCTCCTTTGGGCTCATGCCTCAGGGATATTATGAACGAAAAATCCATAAATCGTGAAAAGACGACATCTAGTGTTCTATGTGTATTGTTATTAATCTATGATTATAACAATAAACTTTGCGAATGCGTTGGAATAATTCACACTTGGAATTCATGAAAACTGTTTTATCTCAAACCAAACGATCGTTAAACCGTGCCAAGAAAGCCGCCATTAGCCCCACCCAACCTGAAATAATGTAAAAACCAGGATCCGGGTCAATATTGATATCCAGGAGTTCAAATCCGTGAGATTTCGGAGCTAAAAACTTAAAAACACAGTATGGAAACCCAGTTTAGAAACAGAATTTAATAAATTTGAACTGCATTGGAATTGGAATCACCGATTCAAATATTCCTTTAATCTTTAACTTTAAATCGGTTGTTCACCTTTGATCGACATTAACTAGTTCAGCGAAGTAATTCAAAGTCCCAGGTTCACATTAATGTAAGTAGGAGTGAGTCATTCATTTGGCGTACTGTCTTGCTTTGCCTTATATTGCCTGCATAATTGTACTGTACAGCTTGATTTGTATCTAGAAACCAACAACTTTGTTCAGATATATCTTTATTTTGTTAAATTTATTGAAACTTTAAAATCAAAATCTACATAAATAAAATTTCCTAAAAATATTAACTCGGACTTAGTTCAGCTTCAGATCCGTAGGAAAAAAACGTATTTTTTTCATGCAAATTTTCATCCTTAAATTAGTTTTTTCTTATGATCAGAATACAAAAAAAGATACAGTGGTAGGCGAATATATCAATACAATGAAAACGACTTTTTAATTAAATTTTGGTTGTTTACAAGCTTTTTTCGAATTACAAGTTAACAAGTAATCAAAAATAAGCTTTTTTAATTGACAGCTTCTATATGCTGTTAAGCGAGTTTAGTAGTTTGATTTAAATCAAAATTTTAATAGAAAGTAGTCTTCATTTCATTGATATCAATCGCTTACCACTGTAAATATAAAAAAGCACAATTTTATCAGTAATTGCATAGAATACAGGGTGTCCGGGTCCCACATCATTTCGGATCGTTTATAAGCCAAATTTGACAATTTTCATGGAGAAAACATAGTTTTTCGAGTATTATGTAACATTTCAGCGTTAAATCTACAGGAGATAATCCAATATGATATGGGACGCTCTGTATCTACAATTGAATATTTGACAGAAATAAAAATTTTAAGATCGAAACCTGAGGTTCAAAAGATCCAACATCTAAACTGTCATCTTTGAAATAAAAGTTCACAAAAACATGCGGTAAATAAATAAACAGCAATAAAATGTAAACATCATATAAACACTGATTAGATCCAGGGAGGGGAGTATAAAGAAAATAAAGGAGTCCTAGAGTGAAATTTAGAAAGAAGATGAGGGGGGGGGGTTAGGAAGAGGATGGGAATTTTAGAAGAAATATTAAGATGGCATTTTTAGTAGATTATGGGGGTGGCGGGATTGAAAGAAAAGGTTGAGGATACATTTACAGAAGATGAAATGATGCAAGTCATTTTGGTAAAAAGAAGTCGGAGGGAGAGATTTATGAAGACGATTGGGGAGGAGGTATTTATGGAGAATATGGGGGAGGGGTAATTCANGGGTATTTTTCAGTAGAAAAGTTTGAGGGGGGGGAGTTACTGTTTAGAGGTGAAAAGTTGAAAAGTAAGATGAGGTTAGAGTTCATATTAAACCACTCCCAGAGACATGCATGAAGAAGGTTTGCCAAGGTGTCAAAATTATACCAAAGAAAGGAGACCGCACCACGCCTGTTACAATTTGAAAAATGTGCGCCAAAATGAAGAAAATATTATACTCATGGGCATCGTTAGTGACCCGTTTTATAATATTTAAAGTTTTTAGACTTTTAATAGACTCGACAAGAATATGAGATGTGAATCCTAAGTCAAAATAGTTTGTTAGAGACAAATTTACTTTTATAACATCATGCAAAACTCTTTTTCTGGCCAAGGATATATTAAACAAGGATATATTAACCAACGATATATTAACCAAGGATATATTAACCACGGATATTAACCAAGGATATATTAACCAAGGATATATTAACCAAGGATATTAACCAAGGATATATTAACCAAGGATATATTAAACAAGGATATATTAACCACGGATATTAACCAATGATATATTAACCAATGATATATTAACCAAGGATATATTAACCAAGGATATTAACCACGGATATTAAGCAAGGATATATTAACCAAGGATATTAATCAAGGATATATTAACCAAGGATATATTAACCAAGGATATATTAACAACGGATATATACACCAAGGATAATAACCAAGGATATACTAACCACGGATATTAACCAAGGATATATTAACCAAGGATATATTAACCAAGGATATATTAACCAAGGATATATTAACCAAGGATATTAACCAATGATATCAACCAAGGACATTAACCAAGGATATATTAACCAAGGATATTAACCAAGGATATTAACCAAGGACATATTAACCAAAGATATATTAACCAAGGATATTAACCACGGATATATTAACCAAGGATATATTAACCAAGGATATTAACCAAGGATATATTAACCAAGGATATATTGACCAAGGATATATTAACCAAGAATATTAACCAAGGATATTAACCAAGGATATTAACCAAAGATACATTAACCAAGGATATATTAACTAAGGATATATTGACCAAGGACATTAACCAAGGATATATTAATCAAGGATATATTAACCTAGGATATTAACCAAGGATATTAACCAAGGATATTAACCAAGGATATTAACAAGGATATATTAACCACGGATATTAACCAATGATATATTAACCAAGGATATATTAACCAAGGATATTAACCAAGGATATTAACCAAGGATATATTAACCAAGGATATTAATCAAGGATATATTAACCCTATCCCTGCTGGGGTACTTGAAAACCAGGATACGCTGGGGGGGGGGTCAATTTGACCCCCCCCCCTCTAAATCCCATGTTTAATGTCCAAATATGACAAATGATACATCATTGGAAAGCTCTTGTGCTCTACTTTTAGAATCTGCAAAAAAATTGCAAATTTGCAAAAATTGAATTTTTTATTGCAAAATCTAGTTATATAGTAAAAATGTTTGCAAAAAAAAATTGTCCAAAAAATGATATATTATACATTTTTGGAAAGCCATTGACTATGCTATTTCAAATATGCAAAATGTTTTGCAAAATTTAAAAAAACCTGATTTTTAATCAAGAAAAACTAAAAATTTTCTTTTGACAGGTTGTTTGCAAAAAATTTGCAATTTTTTTCGCAAAACTTGTGTAATCCGTGTCCTTTTGTCATAGGCTTTCCAAAAAGCTAAATTTTATCAAAATCTGACAATTAAGTGAAAGTGGGTCAAAACAAAGATTTAGTTTGTTACAGGAAAAAGCAGTCGTTCAGGCAGTGTGCCTGAGGACTCAGGCAGTTAGTATTAAAGCCCGGTATTAGGCCTAAAGGGAGGGCTTTGGGTAAGTAGGAAAAGTCAGAAAATTTCAACAGCCTCAGACCAATACTTTTTGAGTTATGTAAAAAAACTACCAGGGTGAGGGGTCAAATTGACCCCAGCAGGAATAGGGTTAACCAAGGATATATTAACCAAGGATATTAACCAAGGATATTAACCTAGGATATTAACTAGGATATATTAACCAAGGATATTAACCAAATCAACTTTTCAAAACGATTAGAAAATTGTTTTTTTGTTTTTTATTTTAAAGAGAAAAAAATCCTAGCTTTCTGAAAACGGAACTCAAAGCTATGCCCATCACTACCTATGTACAGACCTAACGGGAGGGTCTATTCGAACTTATTTTCAGAATGGGCACATTCCATGGAAACCATTTCACAAATGCATTACGATTCTTTCAATAAACAGTTAATCTTAAATTCATAAAGGAAATGAATCTTTGCAACAAAATCTTATTTTCTAATCTTTATATCTTCTTTACCAAATGTCGTAGACCTTAGATATTTCAAGCTATGCATTCTGTTAGATCAAATAGTCTAAGTTTGAAATATCAAAGGATTATGCTATTAGGTTGAAATGATCTAGAGGTTTAAAAATTCGAGTTTGTGGAAAAGACTTAATTCCTTTATAGTTTCAGAAATAACAGAAAAAATAAACTTTGTCGGATAAAGAATGAATGAGGTATTCTTATTTCACTTTCCGAAAGTTGATAATTTTCAATTGTGGTTCCTCTTGGTAAAGCAAGAGATTAAATGAAAATTAAACATTTCTCAAATCAGAAAAAAAGACTATGAAACATTATTCGTGTACGTGTATATAAGGTTTAAAAAGTACCGCTGTGAATCAGACATGCCACTCTTCTTGAAATGAAGGATCATTTAAAATTATGTGTTGCAGTAAAGTTAGGATTTCCATTATTTATAAATTAACTGCGGAATCCTAGTTGTGTACAGTTTCTTTAATGTGTCTGAGGAAAATTCTTGGCGTCTGAACCACACCTACTGACTTTCAGAATGGAAACAAGATTCAATTTTAGATCCGCCATCGTGCTCTAAACTTTCACAGAAGATAAAATACCTTTTATTGTAAACTAAAAACGTGTGATAAAAACTAACATTTTATTAACTGTTCATACGAAGAAAACATAATTTCTAACAAATTAATATTTGAATCTATATTGCTGGTTTACGGTTTGTTCTGTTTTCCGTTTTTGTGTTGAAACTTTTCTTAATACTCGTCCATTTCGAAGCAAACCAGGGTCTCCCTTAATTATTCTGAAAATGAAATAAATAAAAATTGATAAAATTATAAATATTCTTAAAGAACTATCCAATAAGCTTGACAACATTTAATTGTCAAAGCTTATCATGAAATGTATAAGACCGTAATTATCAATCGTAGTATATTTTAACCTTTAAAGGGACAGACCGGCTATGTAAGGTAGTTGAACTGAGTATGCAGTGTTCTGGAAAAATTCATTTGAGACATATATCGCTATTTAAAGATCTGTAAATCCTGAGTTTGAGCACAAAGTCGACATTAAAAATCGTACTTTTGGGTGGATACGTTTTACGAATTGTTTTTTAAATTTAGTAAATAACGACGACAAAAAATGTAAGCAAAATTCTAAAGTAAACTAATTAGTTGTTTAGGAACAGGTCGAGAAAATAAAAATTAATGTTATCATCGAGAATAAGTGATCTTATTCAATTATTAGTTTTTGTAATCTCTCAATTATTCACAAAGATTTTCTGCAAATTTTCTGGAATTTTTATATGAAATTACGACATTTGAAGAATTTGTAGAAATCTGCGAATAAAGTCATAGAAAATATGAAATTCAATATAATGATGAAAACGAAAAAATTGATTCTAGCATGGTTTTATTGACAAATTTCTTTTGAGAAATATGTTCCTAACCATCTAATTAGTTTACTGTATAATTTTTACTTTATTTTTTGTCGTCGTTATTTAATAATTAAAAAAAACGATTCTAAAAACGTACCCACTAAACTTCATGATTTTGAACGTCGACTATGCACTCAAACTCAGTAATTATATATATACATCGTGGAAACGTATTAGATGTCTCAAATGAATCCTAAAGAATTTGTCCACAACACTGCATTCTCAGTTTAACTAACTTACATAGCCGGTCTGTCCCTTTAATGAAAAATTATGGTCTGCCAAATTAACAGAGATTTACTTTTTAGCTAGTTTTATATTTTTCTCCAAGCATTCAATAAAAATATTCAAAGTGATGTTTTACCTTGGTCGGTAGCCATTTTGATCAGCTGTGAAGACGACAGTTCTAAGTATTCCATCTGTTCCTGTGTACGCCCAGCTACCTGATACACTGTACCCACCATTGGTCATCTTAATATGAATAATATTTAAATTCTGGAATTCGAAAAGTTGACAAATGTTTTGTAATTCAATTTAACAAAGTCTTTGCCACAAACTTAAGTTTTCTAATTCCTATATCATTGCAACCTGATTGCGTAAACCTTTGATATTTAAACCATTTGATCGAACAAAATTTAAAGTTTGAAATATCAAAGGTCTCTAGTGCTATCGGGTCACAAAGATAAAAAATTTGAGTTTGTGGCAAAAACTCTGTTTTTTTCTTCAGTTTTAGTAACACTCTATCATATAATGAATTTAAGTGTTATTCCTTTTTAATTAAATATTATACAAATTTTGTTTATGTATTCGTGTCATCTGTATTTCCCGTATTCATTACAAAGTAATGTCCCGGGAAACAGAAATTATATATAGATATTTTTAACAAAAAATGCCAGTGTTTTTGGTCTACTTCCAAATCCTTATATGTGATAATTGTTTTGAAGAGTACAAAATTGTTTTCATATATTACGCAATTACCCTCCACCTCTAAGATTTCGCGCCATTTTCTTCCCCCCCCCTCTCCACCCACCTCCAACCCCTCTACCCCCCCCCTGCTCCTCACCTGTCCTTCCTCCTCCCGCTTTTGTCCATCATCCAGTTCATATCTTTAATAAAAATAGAATTAAGATTTTTAAGATAAACAAAAACAAGTCTTAAACATGAACACTATCATGAACATGAACATGAACATATATAAAATAATAACTATTGTGGAATATGATCATAAACATAATTGGAAAATAACTTGACAAAGACAAGAATAAAAGAAATATGACAAGTACAAGAGCATGAACTTAACAAGAACATGAAAATAGATAAAACATCATGAAACAATCAATTCAACAAGAACAAGATTTAGGAAAGGGGAAAAAATTAGAAAAAAACTAAAATCTGGACCAGAATAAAAAAATTACCCAAAACTGTAAGAACCGTCTTTGTTAAATGTGTTTCTGTAACTAACTAACTGCCCTCCTAAAATATTTTAGTTTTTAATAAAAAATGTTGAAACAAATTTATTTTATTTTTACCTCCTGCAAATCCTGTTGGCTGGACTGGAACCGGTTTAACAGTTTGTTTTGACGGATTCCCGGGTCCTGAGGGGATTTCTAGAAAAAAAGAATTTGCACAATATTTTCTAATTAAAAATTGTTATTTTTTGCGAAGTCATTTAATGTTTGAAAAATGAAATTGGATTGTTATTTACAAAGAGTTTAAGGTTGCATCAAAGTCTCATCCTGTCCGGGAAACACTAGTACAAAACATTGAGAGAATTATTCTGTTTATCTTTTAAAAAAGTTCCCACATAGGTCAAAGAAAAATATTATTTATATCGGACCTAAAGTCAAACAATTGTCCCGGATTAATTTCATGACTGACATATCCATTTGTTAAGAATGTAAAATGAAGAGACATTTTGAATTGATTAAAATATATTCCAGAAAATGTTGAAACCAGATTGAACATGTATATTAAATATTTGGTTTACTGTCCTCATTTAAACACAAAACCTTTTGTGTACCAATGTAGATTAATTTGTCGAATAGATGTGCATTTTTAACAAATTTATAATTTCTACTTTTACTTACTAAAACTTTGAGAAACAAAGGCCGGAGCAGAAGCTACAGATTCCACTAATCCTTTAATTCCAGCAACGTCTCATAATCAAAATTGTAAAATATAGTGTTGTAAAAAATGTGATCCTCAAAATGAAGTATTTTTAAAATGTCGAACAGGAGCCGTCTTGTATATATTACGTAACTATAATTGTTTCTGACAGACACCTGTGCTGTGAAATCGGAAGCATTTTTTAACTTCCATATATAGGAACTTATTAACCAAGGACATATTAACNCCCCCCCCGCTCTTTAAATCTTTGATCCTTTACAGATTTTTGAGTGCAAAACTTTTTAAAGCCATTATTTTTCTCTCATGGGTATCAATTTTCATAAAACATGGACTTAGATATTATAATTTTATAATTGTATTTAGAATATAATGAATTACATATTTTTCATGAAACAATCTGATCTCCCAAGTTGCATCTCAGAATTCTGTTTTGATTATCAAAAGCATAAATAAATGTAAAATTTCATCACATTATACTTCAGTTCTAGAATTTCACAGTCATGCAATCAATGGCAGAAACTTAAGTTCTTTCAGAACATATTAACTCTATCCTGATTGGGCTATTTTGTCTGATAATAATATGATTCTTCCCCTAGAGATGAGATAGGAGAGTGTGATACAACCAAACTTTAAAAATAGACCTCTTACTTTAATGGTTTGGGTCCAAGAGAGGCTTTAAAAAAAGTACAACAGAAAAATGTTGAAAAAATATTTAATTTTACTTTTGACAAATATTAACATGTGGCACATGATATTACATAATAAACTTCCACTTGTTAGAGCGTTCTAGTTAAAATTAACACGAAAAAACCACTGGGTGGGGATAGGGTTAAGAATTTTTTGTTAAACCATATTTGCTGGACCCATCATTTGAAAAGTAAAGCACTGCAACCAATGCACTATTACTGGTCCAACTTTATGACCTCGTAGCTCCTCTAAATTTTATTTAATGTAATCTTATTAGAAAAGCAAATTTAATATTTATATGACCATGACCAAAAAATATAAAATTTCTATCTGACTTGCAATATACTTAAGATTGACGAGGAGGTTAGGATAAACAGATTTAGGATATTTTTTTCTAAAATAAGCTCGTTCCTGAGTCAATGGCCAGCAAATCCTCCTCACTGTAAATCTCACTGTTAACCTAAACAAATAGATTGAAAAAAAACTATTTAAATTTTTTTCTTTAGCGACAATCGATCTCTTTTTATTTCATCCTACTGGATCAACATTAAAAATTGTTTTATTAAATATTAGATATTTATTAGATATGTGAAACTATGAATTCTGTGAGATCAAATAATCTTAGTTTGAAATTTACACCATCAGGTTGCAAAGATAAAGGGATTTAAAAATTTAAATTTTTGGCAACGACTCAATTTTTTTTGTAATGTACAGGCTCAATAGATTTTTAATTAAATAAACATTATCCCATCCATTTTGAAGAAATTTTTTTTTCAAAAATATTTGTTCATATTGTGAAATTCATTTTAGTAGTTTTTGAAGCGGAACATAAAATTAAGAAATAAGACTAAATTAGTGTCAAGCTTTAAGTTTGATCCATTTTTTCAATGGCTTTCAACTCAAGACACTTATAAAATCGGAGGAATTTTGAAATATTCAAAACTGCTCAGATTTTTATGTTGATACGGAATGCCAAAAACTTGCAAAATGCATAATGATACAAAGTATGGTCAAAACACAATTACTTTCAATACCAATCCTTTGTAGGTAGCATATATGTATATCTCAGCAACTATTTAAATTTAACGATTTAGCTAATTTATCAAGTATCAAAGATGCATTTTATTAAAACCAGGCTTTCAGGGCCGGCGTTCGCGCCCATCTTCTATTTCAATTCTGAACATTTTTCACTTTGTAAAGTAAACACACAAAAAAGTTCGCGGATTTTATAAAAAGATTATGTGGATTTTCAACGAAAATCGAATTTTGTTGGAGGCAAATTCTTGAAATTTGATAATCCATAAACCTCTGGGAAATGTGTGGTCCCACAAAAAGTTTAGGCTCGATCGGTTCAGCCGTTTTGACGTTTAATGAATACAAATAAACAGAGAGACAGACAGACAAACAAGCAAAGTATATACCTGAGGAATAGCATAGAAGCAAGGACATGCCAAAACAAACACAATCTGGAAAACATTAAGATTAATATTTTTTAAAACACAAAAATCATTTAAAATCATTCCCAACGCCAATTCATATATTGAGGAAAACTATGTTATTTTCCACATAATTGATTAGATAAAGGTTTAAATGGTATCACTGTGAATCAATTATGTCCCCCTTTAGAGGTAAATGAAAAACCTTTGTATTTCTAACTTAAAAATACATTATCTTCATTTATGGTTAATTAGCTGCTCATGGGACTTGCGGATTTATGCAGCAGAAATAATGAAGAACTTGTTAGAATTAAACACTAATCAGATAAAGCCTACTGTTTTGAATCTGATAAGTTTCAGATTTTTAAATCTTTTTTTATTTCCCACATTTTCAAAATAAACTGCAAAACCGACGTTTAAAATTTGTTAAAATAACCAGATTTCTAGATTTAAACATCCAGGCACATACAGTGAGAACAAAAACACGGTAAACTAGGAAGACGACCTTTAGACTCAAAGGGAGTGTTCGCGAAAAATGAAAGAGGGAATAGGCTTACGGTGAAAAATAAGCGGTTTTGATCGCTACTAATCTTACTTCTATCTGTTGCGTCTATAAGGAGAAAATTGTTAAAAACGACGCATACCGAAGAACGTAGCGTCCATCATGCATATTCAGAAAGTTGCAACATTCAACTCGGATCATAAGATAATCAATTTTATTCCAAACAAATTATTATGATATTTCAACCAATAGTCATCGATAAGTTTTCGTCGCATTCGTATATATTTGATATTTCATAATATTTTTCTATTTTTCATGATCTGAGAGTTACTTTTGAAAACATTTATTCCTGTTTCGAGGATTTTTGATAATGAAGACGACGTTTTCATATTTTCCAGGAATATACGAATGCGTCGAAAAATAATTGATGATTAATGTTTGTTTTATATCTGAATGATTTGTTTGAAATTAAATTGATTATTTTACGATCCGAGTCGTTTTTAACAATTTTCTCCTTATAGATGCAACAGATAGAAGCAAGATTAGTAGCGATCGAAAGCTCTTATTTTTCGCCGTAAGATGAACATGGGACACAGCAGTTGTGCAGTCCGCAATCGACCAGTATACTAAATATGCTATTTATATGCAATATAGCAAAACTATTTTTTTTTGTAAAAACAACAATCAAACTTAATATTGTTTAAATGTCGTCTTCCTGTCATAGAATTTTCCGTATCTCACAGTACCAAACCTATGAAACCTATTGACTGATATCATTGTTATCTTTAATATTTAACATATATATATATATTTGAATAGTGGATCTTGAATACCGCTAATAAAGCATACAAAAGCATGGTATGAAGTGCGTAATAAACAGCTGGAATATTGCTTTGTATTTCAACCAGTCACGACTATACAGAGTTGCAAAGGATACAAACAAATAATCTCAATTTCAAAACAATTTGTAAATATAAAAAAAATATTCGCCTCCGCCAATTTGCAATATTCGCCTCCGCCAATTGCATAAAAATCTGAACCAAAAAATTGTAGATTATAACTTTTCATGATTTGGGGATTTTTGGGTGCAAGAGACATTTTTATGAAGTCTCCTCTAACATGTATGAATTCTGACAGAGGGGGGGGCATTCCGCAGTGCCCCCTTAGAAATTACATTTTCGATTTACGAAATTTTTTTTTACGATTTTTTTTTCTGATCAATCAAGTTCGAATCAGATAATGTCCATGGTTTAAGATTCTTTCAAAGTTTTTTTTTCATTTTCAAATGTGTCTTGGGAATTTCTTGCTTGCAGTACACAATGGAAAAATTATCAGGAAATGTTCAAGGGTACCGTTGTAAATCCTAAATTGCCATTTTTGCATCGAGGGTTACTTGAAATTACAGTTACAATTAAATGCTTAAAACCTCCTGGGATACTAAACGTACACGCATCTATTCTTGTTTACAAAGTCCGCCCATAAACTTAAATATTTCAAACTATGAAATATTTAGATTATATTTATAGATCAAATAGTCTAGATTAAAAAAGGTTTGTACCTTGTAATTTTCATGATTGAATCAAGAAGGGTGATGGGGTTTATATCGCGTAATTTTCATGATTGAACCAAGAAGGGTGGTGGGTTTTATATCGTGTAATTTTCATGATTGAACCAAGAAGGGTGGTGGGGTTTATATCGTGTAATTTTCATGATTGAATCAAGAAGGGTGGAGGGGTTTATATCGTGTAATTTTCATGATTGCATCAAGAAGGGTGATGGGGTTTATATCGTGTAATTTTCATGATTGAATCAAGAAGGGTGATGAGGTTTATATCGTGTAATTTTAATTATTTAATATTCTATACAGTTTTATGTTTGTCTTACTCTATCGCTTTAGGAATGCATCTATTAGCACTGCAGGATGTTATTAAAATAGCCATAATAATAAACGACCCACTACGTTCCTCATTCATTGACTTTTTATATCTGGAAAATGTTTTCTAATTATTTTTAAGTTGGCCCGCCAAACAAAAAAAGGAAATGTTCAAAAACAGCTTGTAGACGTATGTAGTCTAGCGTTTTTTTTGGATCCATTCTAAAAGCTAGGGAGGTTTCGTGTTTATAAACCCAAAATCCAAAAATTTTCTAATACATGACATTTTTGCCATTATATATTTGACTGTTTTCAAGTGACCAGTCATTTTACAGAGACTTTAGCGTAATTTTAATTGACCCTTCATGCAGACAAGGGAATGTCCGATATACAACGCTACCCATTAAACGCTTTGCCTGATGATCGAGGGCAGAGAATTCAGTGTGTTTATCTCAAAGTTGATGTTTAAAATGCCCAAAAACTGGAGTGTACGATAGCGTACGATGTGAACTCAACTGCACAGCTGACTTAACATATATTTCTCGAAAATCTCAAATATGCTGTGTTCAAAGCATTTTAAAAAGTTCAAATGCAATTGAAAATTTTCTGCGACTTTTAAAATAAATAAATATTATTAAAAATAACTGTTTACCAATATTTGGTGATGCATTGTAGAAATGCGATTTAGTTCATTGCTCACAGTTCATCATTTTTTTTTCTGAAAAATAAAATTGTCATTTATTTTTGCATCACTTATCATATAAAAACTTTACCTTCGAGTGGATACAAATGTATTTCTTAATTCAGAGTTAGCTTGTTTAGGGTTTAGTGTGTTTGTTTGTGTCCAATTGTCGTTAAACGGCTGAACCGAATTGTTTGTGGTACTGTAAACATTCTACTTTAAAAACTTGATTAAAAAATCTTGGACTTTTTAAATATGAAAACAGACAAATCTGCAAAATGTAAATCCATTTAGTAAAGCTCTTCGCTCATATATACAAACATATTTGTATTAGGGTTCAATGATGTGCAATTCTAATTTGATATCTGTACTAATAATATTACTATCTTAATTAGTTGTATATTGACCCAGCCGGGCTAGCCCGGTCAGTTTTCATTTTACCTGTTTATAAATAAATTAGTTGAATATCATTTGTTGATTAGAACGGACGTATACAGAGCCTTGAGTGTTGGCTAGAGATAGAGAGCCTTAAGATTTGGCTAGAGATTTAGTTAAATATGATCTCATTAGACTTTGAGTAAAGTAATCGTTAGAGAATTAGCGTCTAGATTTGTTACATGGATATACAGTATATTTAAATTTATAAGAAATATATATTGTGTTATCCCTTTGTACACATGGATATACAGCATATCTAAATGTATAATAAATGTATATTGTTTTATTCCTGTGCAATCTGCACATAGATGAATATAAGCTACAGCAGATCTAAATGTATAAGAAATGAATATTGTTATATCCTTGTCGTTTATGCATATCATGAACTGGACCTAGTTCTATTAAATGCATTTTTAGATAACTGCAGTATCAGATGCACTTCAGTACGTTTCAACGTGGTGTACCCCCTGCACCCTTCACCCATTCTGCACCATACAGCCATTCTGCACTATACACTCATTCTGCACCCTACACCCATTCTGCACCCTACACCCGTTCTGCACCCTAAACCCGTTCTGCACCCTACACCCGTTCTGAACCCTACGCCCATTCTGCACCCTACACCCATTCTGCACCCTACGCCCATTCTGCACCCTACGCCCATTCTGCACCCTACGCCCATTCTGCACCACCAATTCATATTCTCAAAGGGACTGTAATTGTATTTTCAAATGTCTCTCAAATTAAAATAGTTGCATGTTCAATTCACAACTGTAACTGGTTTTCAAGTACCCCAGCGGGGATAGGGTTAAGATTTTTAACTTTCATTCATAGGCCTTTACTTTTAATTGGACAGTCATATGTTATGAAACTATCTTATATCTAAACTAATATTTCTTTTTAAAAGTCAACTTATCAATTTTTATAATTTGTCTTAAAATGGCTTAAAAAAGAAACCAATTTAAAATTGCAGGGAATCGGAAATGTTTAGGAAATGCAGACTAAACAAATTCCGTACAGGCGTCTCAGAAGTCTTATTTGTGAGTAATCTTGTATTAACCTAGTTAAGAATTTTGTTTAAAATGGAAATATTTGTTCAATGTGCAAAGTCCAAATTTTTTCTGAAATTGGTTTTTAAGCACTCACGGTTGCCCCCCCCCCCTGTTTTTTTATTTAACAAAAAAAACACCTTATACTAGATCGTTCTTCATTTTTAATTATACAGCTGGTTGTGAACAAATTATGCAAAAACTATTTTTTTATGCGAAGGGTAGGGTGGAGTACGGTCAACCAGCTGGTCTGTGTTTAAAAAAAATCAATAACAGTAAATAACTTTTTTATTAATTAAGCTACAGATCTGAAATCGGGAAAGGTATAACTCAGTTTTTGTTTTGTTTTTAAGAGATTTTTAGTTTTTGGATTAACGTTTAAAACGATCATTTTTCGTTTAACACCAGAAACAGGAAGAAAAATTATCGTTAATATTTACGATAACAAAATTCCCAAACCGATTTTTTTGCTTCACATCGTTAACAAAAATTTGAAAACAATTTCGGAAAAAAATTATATTTCTGTGGTCATTTTTGGACGGGGTAGACGGGGGGGGGGGATAAAATCTTTATTAGAACCTGTCAATGACCATGCATAAACTGTTAAGGATATGAATGGTTGTCTCTAGTATAAATTAACATGTTAAATAATAGTTCTCTGTTAAGAAAACCAAATATAGGTTGTATATACTATATACAGGATCTCCCACATTGTTCAAACCTCTTTTGGGAAAAACCAGACAAATTTTAAAAGGAATATTTAAGACTCATTGAATAAATTACATGCATCAAATACACGGTCTAAGGGTCTGTTTTAGTCTTTTATTATAGCATTCAAATTTGGAGATTTTCCAATATGATATTTATGAAGTGTGTGTACTGTGTATACTCTGTATTGTGTAATCATATCTCACCTCCCTCAACCCTGTAATTTAAAGATGCTTCTTGCTGTATCTACATTTATAAATAAAGTAATAATCTCTGTTTGAGTGTCTGTAGACTGTCCATCCGGCTCATTTCATGTACAGGGCCGAATTTGAAACAACAAGACCACGCTGTACACTGTACAGTACACATACAGATTTTAAGGCAAAACAGGACAGTTCACCAAATTAATCATCCCCTTCTAGTGAAATTTATGTGCCCATGCCCGATTTGCCTCCAGTTTTAATTGAGGAACTCGTTAGAACGACGGAAATGTTCTTAGCTTAGCTTAAATTAACCTAGAAATCGTCAAACTTTAAGAGTTTTTAGTCGTCTTTACATTCTCATCCTTTGAGGGGTACTCTATATTCGTTCATCATCGTTCTATAGAATTTTCCAGGACTCCCTTTAAGGCCTATACTAATTACTAATTAACATCCTAAACTGTAGATGCAGGAACTGGTATCAACAATATCTAGTAATTAAAGAACTATACGATCAATAATAAACATCACTATCCTGCAACCATGGTAATAAACTAATCATCAGTAATTAGCAATGCTTCCCGCCCTTTTTACATTAGTGTCAACAAGATTGAACGTAAACATTCATTCTTTAATGCATGGTTATTTTGAAAATATATTTTTTGTATAAACTTACGTTATTACAAGATTGAACGTAAACATTCATTCTTTAATGCATGGTTATTTTGAAAATATATTTTTTGTATAAACTTACGTTATTACAAGATTGAACGTAAACATTCATTCTTTAATGCATGGTTATTTTGAAAATATATTTTTTGTATAAACTTACGTTATTAATATTCGTTGCGCCAAGTTCAACAGTGCAGAGAAGTTTGTTAAATAGATGTCCGCCTAAAGAACTCCCCATTGAAGGTACTGCTTAAAGTGTTTAAACATATATATTCACGATGGTACCCTTAAAAGCTTTGTCTGAACAAGAATAAATGAAATAATAATTTTGGTATCTCCATAAAATGTCTTTCTGCTGCTGAAACAGTTAAGGAAATCGTTAGAATTAAACACTTGAAAAGCTGGAAAAACGACGATATCTTCCACATTAGGGTTTCATAATCATATTTTAAAATTAAATCCTACCATCGTGGATATCGAATATATGTAATGTAAGTTAGGTCATTGTCATCCAAAAGTTTTGAACTTTAATTTTTATTTCAAACATTGCACTTTGTGATACTTTATTAGCACCACGGTCCACGATATAAAGAAGTATAAAATAATATGTCTAGGGTGGGGGCTTAACATTTTTGAAGGGGCTCGTTAATAATCATTCTCTGCTGCAGGAACTAAATGTCTCAGCAAATCATGATTTTCTATTTTCCAGAAGGGGGGTCTTAGCCTCCATAGTTCTCCTAGTCCTGCATTCACCCGGCCACAATACCGAATGAACTTTTTTATTGCTAATATTCGATTCGCTTGTTCAGCGCTATAGTTTATAATACATTTTTAATAACGTCGCAGTTTTTAATCGATTATGAGACATAAATATTTGATATAAACCTGTTAATTTTTCAGTAATATATAGAATAGTCATAGTTTAACGATCATCTCAGTCGCTTCACAAATCTGAGTTCTACGACGTTGCTTTCCTGCGCGTTAAGGTCTCTGCGCCACTACAGTCACCGGTCTACTGAAACTAGGACGGAACTATGGGTGAACATTAGATAGCAGGGTTCACAGTTCAACATAAAAAAAGGGACTGTAAGCGTAATTTTAAGTGACATTAAATTCCACATTTCTACTGCTGGAAAATATGAATGCAGGAATCAACAAACAAAAAAAATTATAAAAATGACAATAAATGCCATATTATTGATCAGATAAAAGATTCAATGCTACCATAGAGAATCTGGAATGGTGCATCACTGAAAACTACGCTTACAGTCCCTTTAAACAAAAACAAACCCTGACAATTCGTTAGCAATGTCGAACATGCTGGAAGCATTTCGAAATCGCGAACTCACAATTTGTGAGGTATTATTAATACTCTGTTATTATTTGCAAACCAGATTTTGATAGTTCGCAATTGAAAATAAGTTTTTAAACAGCTTAGGCTGAAATATCTTCTTAGAGCACTGGATTTACAGTTACTAGCTGATCAGATTATATCAAGCTATACACTATACACCTAGGTTCAATCATTTTTAAATAACCATAAAATTCTAAAACATTAGATGATAAGCTGTTTTATACTAAACATAAACATTACACAATTTACAGGGTGTCCCATAAAAATTTACAGGAAAACGACGACTTATTAAGGTAGTAGTTGATCTTTAAATTAATTTACGATATTCATTTATAAACCTAATTTTAGAAGTAAAATTTTAGAGTTAATAAATACAAAAATACCCCTTTTATTTTCAAAAGTGGTTGGCTTTTTGTGCTTTCAACATTACAAGAGATATGAAATATTTTGTTCAGATTTCGAGATTTTTTTTTATAATTGAAATCTGAACGAAATTCTTAATATCTCCGGTAATATTGACAGCACACCAAAATCCGGCCACATTTTGTAAATGCCAGAACTATGAAAACTTTGTGATTGTTGTTTAAAAATTCAAGTAAATCAAAAAACGAATGCCG